AGATTTTGGAGTTGCCTGGGAATTGCAGAGTAAAACCTGCTTATACTGTGATGAACTGATTTAAGTGTGAAAACTTAGACAACGTTTAGAATAACAAGAGTGGTTTCAATACACCCACTTAAAACTGTTGGTATCTGTTTGAACACTTTTTTGCTGATCCCAAAGTAGTCAGTTTCTTCGGATGCAGACTTCATAGCAGGCTACATTTATGACTGACTTCAGCAAAATTAAGAGGTAATATTGCTTTTTCAGTACAGGCTGATTTTGAATTCTAAATGAACCTAGGACTGTGAAATTGGGGTCAGCTATCATATCCCAGGCAGGAGTGTACAGTTAATTATAAAGGAGGCTAGCAAACTTTTTTTAAAAAAATTCTTGTATTAGAGCTACAAAAATTCATTGGCTTCCATTTCTCATCAAGTTAACTTGTTCTGCAGTAAAGCTATGGCCTTCTCTGTAACCACAGAATCAGTGCCACAGAACTGCACATACCTTGCAAATTACAGCAATCGCATACAGAAAGGCTAATTTTATGGCTGATTCCCACCAAAACTGGCACCCCAACGGGTAGGCAGGTTCTGACCAACTGGGAAAGCCTCATAAGGCCACGTTCACTCATATGATTTGCCCTACTTCCCATTGTGCAACTCTAGCATTGAGGAACTGCTCCCTTATTAATATGAACAAGGAAGTACATAAACGCTTAGGGCCAACAACAGTTGAACCTTACTACATGCATGATTATACCCAAAGGTGCTTGGGTATAATCAGCTGGGCTTGGTCTTTTTACCTGAAGACGCTTCACTTCTCATCCAAGAAGCTTCTTCAGTCTTCAAGGAAAAACAAAAGTCCAGTTGCCTTCTCAAAAAGCAGCTTTAGGACAACCATGATCTGGATGACTGAGAATCTCTATAAACATGCATGATTATACTTCTACACCAGGGGTGTCAAACTCACAACATCACGTGATGTGTTGCAACATATTGCGACTTTTTTTCCATTGCCGGCAATGGGGTGGGTGCGATTTCGCCATGATGCATCCAGCCCGTGGGCCGGCAGTTTGACACCCCTGTTCAACACAGGCAACGTGATATATTTTGCTGGTATATTTGCTGTATGGATGAAATGTAAAAAAAAAACTGTATTATACCCTAGATCTGCAAGAACTCCTACTGTATCTAATCACTTTCCAGGTGCAAATATTCTTTGCAATGGGTAATTGTGAGCGGGTACTTTTTCTTCTTTTCATTGATGCAAAGAATTAAAATGCAGTTGGCCTGGATGGGACAATTGTTTTGCTTTCTGTATTTTCTAAAGTGTAAGAAATACAAATTGAGGTTTGCATGCCTCCTGCCTTCTATAGTGGTGGTATCTATTTCTAAAGATTCTGTTAAGAGATCCTTGAAATATACCCTAGAGGAAAGAACTATTACAGGCACTGAATTCATACAAACATCGCTCCAAGATTATCTCAGAGATCATCTAGTTCCAGCGTTCTCCAACTGTGCTTCTGCGGGAAGATGATATTTCATGAGAGATTAATAAACTTTGGTCCGTTACCAGGGGTTCCAAGAAATTTCTTTAAAAAATATCTGGGAGGTTTCAGGGCCTGAAAGTTTGAAACTCTTAATCAAGTCCAATTTAATGCCAGTTTTTCTAGAGCAATTCCAATAGATGGCTCTCCAGACTCTGCTTGAAGACCTCCGGTTAATTTTTCAATAACATACCATTTCATGAGGCAAGCTACTATACTAGTTGACAGCATTTACCAACAAGAAATTTCCTATATCTATGCTGATTCTATTTCTTCCCGTTGGTTTTAGCCTTGCCCTTTAGGGCAACCAAATAGTCCACTCCCTCCTTTGTATGACAGCATTTCAGATATTCAGAGGCTGTTATATTCTTTTCTCTTAGTCTTGTCTCTGGAGCAACATACCGAATTCCTTTAACCACTATCAATTACAACCCATTACTATAAAAGCAGGTAATCTTTGACTTATGACCACAACTGAGCCCAAAATTTCCACTGCTAAGCAAGACAAATGAGTTTTGCTCCATTTTACAGCCTTTCTTCCCACCATTGTTAAGTGAATCATTGCTGATATGTTAGTAACACAGTTGTTAAGTGAATCTGCCTTCCCCACCGTCTCTTGCTTGTCAGAAGGTCATAAAAGGTGATCACATGACCACAGGACACTGCAACAGTTGTGTGAAAAATCATGTCACTTTTTTCAGTGCCACTGTAACTTCAAATGGTCATTAAATAAGTCAAGGACTACCTGTACATTAATCAATAGTCCCAAAGAGAGAATGGTGAGAAATAGACTTGTGTTTTGCGCTGTTTTAAACCGGTATTTTATACTCCACCAAAGGAAAAGCACTGCTTGAGGGATGCAAACATCTCCATAATAATTCTCCATGCCTCCCCTCAGAATAACTTTTGAATGTTTTTTCAGAGCTTTTCATCTAAAACTAATAAAATCAGGATTAGACTCTGCCATGTCTCATCAGTCTATTTACAAATAAAAAAGACAAACCTTCATTCAATGTAAGCATGTCCAGCATTAGCCCCCTCTTGCAAATGGAAGGCAAAGGCTAAGTGGGAATTCAATCAGGATTACACATTAGTTTAAAAGCCAGGTAACATCTGAACTCAGAACTTTTTGACTCACAATCAGTAGCATAGTCAACTTTTTCTCTCTTATTATTTTCAGTATGTACCTTCCATTACTTGCTAGCTAAGCTGGGAAAGATTTTAAGAAACAGGATTCCTTCTTTTGCCACAGCAGTGGTTTCTGCCTGAACTTGCCGAGAAATTATCAGCTTGATTAAACAGATATATCAAAAGCATGTTATGTCCCTCGTCCAACTTGTTGAAACTCCCAAGATAACTTGCTAGTCCTAGAAACGTCCTCCTCTATCGTTATATTTGAACTGTTTAAATTTTACGAGGATTCTCTGTGGTAGACTTATGCAAACCTTTATAGACAGTTCTGAAAATCAGTTCCATTTGTGTTTGGGGGGAAAGGTGTGTGGAGGAAGTGTCTTTCCCTTTATAAAAGTAGAATACAGGTAGTTTTCAAATTGAGCCCAACATTTCTGTTGTTAAATGAAACATTTGTTAAGGGCATTTGGTGCCATTTTATGACTTTTCTTGCCACAGTTGTTAAATGAATCACTGCAGTTGTTAAGTTAGTAACACAGCTGTTAAGTAAATGTGGCTTCCCCATTGATTTTGCTTGCCAGAAGCTTACAAAAAGTAATCATATGATTCCAGGATGCTGTGACTGTCATGGTGTCTGAATTTTGATCACTTGACCATGGGAATACTACAATGGTCGTTAAGTGTGAAGCAGGGTCATAAGCCACTTTTTCCAGGGCCATTTCATGACTTTGAATGATCACTAAATGAACTGTTGTAAGTTGAGGACTGACTACCTGTAAACACTTTTGATATAATGGGAAAACAAACAAAATAAGGCTAGATGACACCAACATTACATGAACTGATACCACTATCAGGTTGGATATGAAAGAAATATTGCTGTCTCAGTTTTGGCTCTTGTCCACCAGCTCCATTTAGCAGTTTGAACAGAATCTAAATTGTTTTGACTTCATAGATAATGTAAGGCCTATTTTCTAAATGTTAAAAAAAAAGTCTTTTTAGTTTCAAAAATAACAATTTTAGTTGATAGATTTGTTATGAACTACTCAGTACAACCTGTGGAAGTCAATCCAATATTTGAAAGCAATGTATATCGGTACTTGCAATGAAAAAGAAAAAGGTAGATTTTTCTACCTTTTTCTTTTTCATTGCAAATACCGGCAGTATACCCCAAAGTTGTGGTTTTTTTTAGTAAAAGACCATGACAAATCTAATAACAATGACATCTTCACAGCTGTCCTGAACTAATCTAAATGAGTTAGTTAAGTGAGATAAGGTTAACAATAGGTTCTTACTCATTGGTAATCATAATTAAGGTACCAAAAACAGATTAACCTCTAAATCCCAATAAATAAACTTTTAAGAGAAAAATACAGCAGACTTTCATGTTTAACTTATTTTAAAAATTAATGGTCTTTGTGAAACTATACCAATACCGTTTTTCTACATAAAAAACAACAACACATTCTTAGTGGTTTTGCAAATACTTCCTTCCATAAATGGTTTCCATTCCAACCCAATGCTATGGAAATAACTGGGACAGACACGTTTTTTCTACCAGTGTTTTAACATAGCAAACTGTTTTAACAACATTGTCATTTATCAGAACTCAATCTTTATAACACAAACAAGATCAAACCGGTTCAACCTTGACCCACCATGTTGATCCAGAAGTCTGAAGGGTGGGTTTAAAAAAACAAACAAACACCACTTTGGTTAACAGCTATTCAGTCTTATTTTTTTTTCCCACAAGAAAGATATACTCCTTTAGTTTTTACCATTGTCATTAAAAAGGCATATCCGTGGCATGTGGTGCCAATCTATGACAAGGAGATCAAGATTGTAGCAGTTAAGGCAAGGATAACTCAACGGCACTGAAGTTTTAATAATTGGGATTGTACCCAAAATAGTGATATTTGTGGTGGACCACAACAACTGGGAAAAAAAGCCTTCTCTTTCCTTAGAGCTGTGTTCTCCACAGGCACTTGCAAGTTGCATAGTTTTGAAGCAGAATGACACACCTTCTTCTTTCCTCTTCCTTGGTCAGAATTGTAGCTTGGGGTTTTTTCTCTCAGTGCTATAAAGCCTCCACATCGAGTAGCTGCATAGCATATGAGCAAATGAAAGGCCAAAGAGATTGCTTTTGCCTAGAATCCACTGATTTCACATTAGCAGTGATTCCTGAAGTCCTGAAACTGGACTGCTTTCTCTTCAGATAGGGTTTTTTTTTTTTAAAAAAAAAACATCTTGAGATCTCCTCCATTAACTCCCTGTCCCCTTCCACAGCTCCAGTGAATCTGAGATAGCAATATCGGGGCGGGGGGGGGGGGGAGAAAGATTCTCTGAAGGGAGCAGGGGATAAAAGACATAGTCACTAAATAACTCTTTAGGAAATAGAGATCCCTCTGACTGGAGAATAAAAGAAGGCACTTGGTGAGACATTCAGCCACTTTTCATCCAATCCACTCAATGAGTCAATAATCTCAACCTTGTGATCCAGCTAACCAGCAAAGAGGGTTCTGTGGAGGAAGATTTTGTGGATGTAGTCACAGGTGGCCTTTTAGCACCATCCTCCTGGAAAGGGATGGTTGCGCTGTTATGGAGATCCACATTAACAAAACACCTGCTTCCCCTGATGTAGTCAGCACCTTTTACTAACTGTTTTTCCGCCACTGGTCTGGGAAACGGAGGCTGCAAGGGGGGGTTTTCTTCAATAATGGGTGGGATTCTTTCATTGCTGAAGTATCGGCAGAGGGCATTTTCAGCTGGAAAAAAAACAAGCAGAAAAGTCTTAGAAAAGTTCACGTTCAAAAAGTCTTAGAAAAGTGCCACATTGTGGCAAAGATTAAGCAGCTTTTAACGTTATGCTACTCTCCAGCAGACGTGGTAAAAATGATTTTCTCTGTCTGTTGTGCAGGCGGAATATAATCTGAACTGGCCTCCACATTCTTTTTTATACTAACATTCTTTTTTGTAATCCACTACAACCTGAACCTTAATCATCATGCACCAGCACCAGCCCAAATTTAAGTTAATGGGTAAAGTTTCTACTTTAGGAATTAATAAACTATACATAAATATAATGGTGGCGCAGTGGTTAGAATGCAGTACTGCAAGCTAACTGACTGCTCACTCCAGGAGTTTGATTCTGAGCCGCTCAAGGTTGACTCAGCCTTCCATCCTTCCGAAGTTGGTAAAATGAGGATCCAGATTGTAAGGGGCAATATGCTGACTCTGTAAACCGCTTAGAGAGGACTGTAAAGCACTGTGAAGTGGTATATGAGCATATAAGTATATATCTAAGTCTAAATACATTCATTCTTAAAATCCCTTTGTTGTTTCCTCTAGGAAAGAACATAAACTTACTAAGGGACAAATTGAAACACACGAATTGCAAGGAAATTTTTTAATTCCTCACTCTTTCTTTTGGAACTCTCAGTTTCCACTAATGCTATCTTCCATGTCTTTTCCTTCTAAACAAGCTTCTGAAACACAGATGTCCACAGCAAACTGAGACTGCTTCAAAATCTGACACAGATTCAGTGATGTCATGATCCTAATGTTTGCTGCAAGCATGCAAGTCACACTTTCTGTATCATGGTGCATGTTTTGGATCTGACACACACAAATATATACACACATCCCCTGCAAACATCAATGCTCTGACAAGCTCTAGGAAACAGATATTTTACTATTTTGGATCAGTACTTAAGAATTGCTAGCTGCGAGCTTTTTAAACAGTATTTTAGCAACAATGGAGTTTCCCAACTCAGTATTCATCTCAAATGAGACATTAAAACTAGCATTTGTGCAGAAGTGCACAATTTCTGTTAGGCTAAGGGCCCCAATATGGGTGACATCAAACTATATTGTGATTTCATTTATGCTTCATTAAAGTTAAATATGGGTTTTGATGTGATTACTCTCCAATCAAGCATTTCATAATTTCCTCAAGCTATCACATTAAAAATTACAATTTGGTAAGTGTTTCCAGAGATGTCTGATACATACACCCAAGCCTTTCAGGAGCCACAGCAGCCAGGATTGTGCACTTTTACTCTCAATATAATAACAGGTTATTACATTAATATCTGGAGTATAAAGTATCATCGAAAGCACTTCTCTATTAGATTAACATAATATAAACTAAGAGTGAAATGTTGCTTTGACATTTGCCAAAACAACGACTAGTTTGCTGACCCAGGGAGGCTATGATTTTTTAAAAAATGACACGTTTCTCTCTGCTTGGCAAATGCACAGGTGGAAATCTAACATCAAACTGCAATGTGGACCATGAACAGACGTTCTTATTAGGAAAAGGAACTGAACTTCAACAAGTTCCTCACCTTTTCTCCCTGCTGCTCGCGGCTTAGAGAAAGATTCTACAGCTCCCAGCCAATTTCCATCAGCAGGCATAGACAACGGGCGAGGCTTTCCTAAAAACCATAGACATTATTAAGTTATGTGATCTACTTTTTCAGCTTGGTTGTTTTCTTGCAGCCATTTAATTACCATGCTAAGTAACATCATCAGTGTGAGAGGGGGAATTTTTGCCTTGATGCCTTGAACCCTGAGCTATATATACTCTCCTCAATGTGATCTGTGTAATGGCAATTCTTGTGAGAAGACAACTTTAAACATTGGATGAGTTTCTATGCATGCAGTAAATGTGAAGAAGTTTGATTGTTTCGCCACTCTTATCACCACAGACTAGACCAGTGATGGCGAACCTATGGCACGGGTACCAGAGGCGGCACTTAGAGACCTCTCTGTGGGCACGCGCGCCGTTGCCCCAGTCCTAGGCCTTCAGCTGGGTTTTATAAAACCTTTTCACTTTAGGCCTCCGCCGCCGTGTGCCAAAAAAAAGGGGGGGTTCAATCAGACAATTTCAACTTCTCGTGGGGAAAAAAAAGATCTTGCAAAGTTGGAATTGATTGATTGAACTTTTTAGTCCCACCCAGTCTGCCGTTACCACCGCAGCCATGCCCACCCAGTGGGCCATGCCCACCCAATTGGCCACATCCGCCCGGCATTCGACGATGCATAAGTGGGTTTTGGGCTGCAGTTTGGGCACTCAATCTCTAAAAGGTTCGCCATCACTGGACTAGACCTAAGCATGGTCATGCACTTGTTTTCATTCTTCACCTTCTGCCATGAGTGTACATCTCCCTGCGGTTGTTCTGTGTCTCACAATTGCTTGGTAAGGCACTCATCCACTCTAGCTCCATGTTCCTGGACTTGTGTGGCACCACTGACTGCCAACCCTCAAATATTAAAGGATCCAGACACCAGGGATGGACCACCTTAACTGATCCTCTACTTTTGTCTCTTTGGCAGAGGGTGAGAATGGAACTAATTCTCTGGGTTAAATTTCAGCAACACAAGATTCTGCAGGTCTGCCTACTCAGAAACAGCTTAACAGGTTCAACGGGAACAGAAGATTGTAAATGAAAAGTTATAAACCACAGATACATGCCAGAATTTATATTTTAAAAATCTTTTAAGTACTTTACATAAGAATATTTCCACCAGTTATAGACTCTCTCTAAAAAGGAAGAATTTTTAAAGACTTAAAGAAAAAAAGGTGGGGGTTAACTCTCGAAAGAAGAAAAACCCAATATAGGTTCAGAGTTTTCTCACCGTAAGATGGAGTTTTCTCCCTCATCTTTGCTAGTGGAATATTTACTTCCCTGGGGTAGGGAGGCAATGGATCAGAATCTATCAGAGTAAACCTTCGTCTTCTACATTCCTGATCAAGGAAAGAATTGGGAGATTCTGCCCCTTTGGAACCAGGGAGAGGCTGTTTGGGTTTATTGCCTCCTCCATAAACGAAGTTCCCTTTCTCGTCCCTGAAAAGATATTGCATTCAATAAGCAACATGAACAAAGGGCTTGCAACCCTGAACCCTGAACAATTCTAATGCTATTCAGTGGCCACCTGAGAGAGACTGAAAAGAGTAAACAAAGTAAGGAAAGAGTAAACAAAGAAGGAAAACCCAAAGTAGTCCGTATGTATGCTCGAATTTTGCAAGTTGCAGGAAAAAGTAGAAAATGTGGGACAGCCCCAGAATTACATTTTCTTCTTTTCTGTTTGCTTCATAAAGTCCCTAGCTTTTATGGTGCAAGTAACAGCATGTTTAAAGATAACTCAAGATATTATCACATAGTACTCAGACAGGCAGCTGAATAAATCTCTGTGATCAGAAGAATGGCCTAAGTATTCTGCAACTCAATTGTTCTTCTTTAATATTGGCGGCAACTCAATAAATCATGCAAGAGACCTGACTCATAATTTTTCAATAAATTACACAATAGGAATCTATGTATCATTTCCTAATGTATAGAGCAGAAGAACTCAATTTTTACCTTTCTTTGGTGTTCTATTAATGTTATATAAGATTTTTAAAAACAAAACAAAACAAGGGAATTACTGGTAAGTACTCCTGTCAGGTATTACAAGGATTTTAAAAATAATAATAATAATAATAATAAAAACTATTATTCTTTTTATATGAACAAATGCTGTGTACTTTTCCATTAGTGTCTTCAAGGTGGCTTACATTTTCTTTTTACAATATGGAAAAAACAGTATTCAAAACCAATTAAAATGACATCCCAAGCTAACAAATTCAAGTAATAAATAAAAAATTGAAAAGGAAAGACAGAATGATTTGTTAACAAAAGCTGGAAAGAATGAAGCAGTTCCAACAAATCATTTAGAGATGTCATCGAACTACTCCGTAAGATTTATTTATTAAGTTATTGCTGAATATTCAGGTGAGAATATCCATATGCAGAGTAAAACAATACTTCAGTAATTTGCTTCTGGGGACATAAACGATTGAACTAAACCTCTCACCCTCCCACTCACATGACAGAAATGTATTTGACAAATCTTTGAAAAGCAGAATCTGAATGGAATGTTCGACATGTAGGCTTTTTCTCCAAAGCAAAAGATTTACCATTTTGCAAGTGTTGCACATGAATATGGTGCTTAATGCAAGTCTCCACACTAACATCAGAAGACAATTATCCCTTTGCACTTTTAGTGACTTTGGCATGGCTATTTTGGCTCCTAATTCAGTCTTAGCATACAGCATTCTGTATCTCAGAGGCATCTGGGAGGCGGGTGGATCAATAAGTCAAGATGGCAGGCACACCTGTGTGATCAAAGCTCCACCCCAGAGTAGAACTGGGATCTTCTGATAGTCTTCCCAGTAAACCTGATCATCTAATTCTACTTTATTGTAAGGTTACATTAACAGAATCCAGCAAGTCGGAAAGTACAAACTACCCACTGCCACTTTTAGACTGATCCATTAGACTGGGTCCTTCCTAAGTTTCTTTCTCTGACCATTAAGCCACTGGGGATTCCTCCCTCTCTTGTTTGATTATTTCCTAGGCAAGACTTTCCCCCCCTTGTTCCTCAAGGTCATTTACACATTCCACTACACTATCTCTTCTGCAGTCATGCTCACCTCTTGGCTTTCTGACATGCCCCAAGAATGCCCTTCCTGCTTTGTTCTTCATTTGAAAAGCAAAACCAAAGCTAGCTCTAAATTAAACATCAACTATTTAAAACATTTACAAGGGAAGAAATGCACAGACATTTGCATCTCTTTTTATTTGCACATGCTTTTTTTTATTTGAGTATAAATAAATGTGGCCTCCACTAAATCTACTGCAATCAGGGCACTGAAAATGCTCACATCCTTTGAGCCTTGATGAGACAATTTAAGTCATTTCAGCTGCTTAAAGTTATTTTAGCACACCAACTTGGATTCAAAAGTTTTAGAGCAGGGGTGTCAAACTGCCGGCCTACGGGCCGGTTTCATCATACCGGAGCCGCGCCCACCCCATTGCCGGCAACGGCGAAAAATCTCCGATATGTTGCACGACGTCACGTGACGTCGCGAGTTTGACATATCTGCTTTAGAGGCACAACCATTTAGAAAAGAGAAATAAAAATGTCTGTTGGCTAGATATGAACTTTTTAGGAAGCAGAGATACATAATGGACAAAATGTAAGAGTGTAACCAAGCACCACCCCTAACTAAATGATACACTTCTATTTAAGGTTTTTTTTTAAGAATTTCCCTTTGAGGACAAAACTGTGCTATATGATTCTAGTGACAAAGACTTTTTCAGAAAATAACACCGCTGTACATTTAAGAGCTCAAATATGTGTGAAGCACCAAGTAAATCTTGATTACAACTAAGTAATTCATCTGGGGAATGAATGCAAATAGCCAGATAATAATGAGCGGCTCTTTTTAAGTAATATGTAGCTGCTGGCATACCGGGGTGCGTAGGGAACAGCTGGCGGTGGAGGTATGTAAAGATCCAGAATGGCTGGTTTCTCTTTCTTCAGTGATGTCTCCTTGGTGTTTTCCGATGACTGGGCTGTAGCTGGGTGTAGGCTGGTCTACAGTGAGAAGGTACAACAGTTCTTAAGTAACTTTAAAACTACAAAATGCAGTCAGGCCAGTTCCTCTACTATACGCTCACATTATTCTTCATTCCCTAATTTTATCTGATCCATTGGAAACTGGAAACAATTATTTCTTTGAATACCTTATTTTAGGATGAAATCATATCTTTGGACTTTTATCACATGCTAACTACCTAGGATTGTTGACAATAAGGACATGTACAATATTTTAAAAATAAACACTACACAGAGGTGCCTTACATTTTTTGTATTCTATCATATTGGACTTAGGTTTGGCCAAAGCCTTTAAGCCAAACACAAATTCAGAAGCAGCTTTAAGAACTATTGTTTTATACAGAATTGCTAAAAAAAAGTAGGCACAAATTAAGAATTAAGCAGAAGTTCTAGTAGTTCTACCCTGCTAGAGACAGATGCTGTCTGTAGGTGGTTTAAGACTGTTCATCAAGATGGAAGCCATTTTCCCAATGTGATCTCTTTCCAAACCTCATCAAGCATTTAAGTGATTAGTATCACAGGGTGATTCAGTTAGATTCTAAGTGTTGCTTCTACATATGGTTCAGATCCTAAATAACTTGCAGAAAAGTATATATTTCATTCTACTTATAGCATGAATTAATATTGTACAAGGAAACAAGATACTATATTTCAATTCATATAAGATGCACTATTTCCCTCGGTGGATTCTTTGTTAGAAATATTGAATTCCCTCTTTCCTTGCCATTATCTGCTTAGAAATTCTCTTTGAAAAGATTTTAATCCCCGTATCTTCCACACCCTTTTTCCCTCCCAGGTTTCACAATGCCTCCAATTTTGCTAATACCAGCAATTGGCACTTCAAGGGGAAACAGCATAATTCAGCACAACAGCATAATTCAGATAGGCTATAAAGATTAATCTTTGACAAATGCAATATTTGGTCACAATTTTTCTACTGTGCAATTATCTATGGTTATTTCCTAAATTCAACTTTTCCAGAGGAGTATAAACAATTCAGCTCAAATAGTCTTTTAGATATCCACCCCAGTTAAGAAGGTTCTGGGAGTTGAGGGTAAAAAAAAAAATTCTTCCTTATTCTTTTATTTCTTTTGTGCAATTACTATAAAAGGAGCTTTCACAAATTAATTTCATTAAAAAAAAACAACTTTTGGCTGTAAAACTATTTGGATAAAATCAGTTTTTATGATGTACCAATTATTATTTTTGATATTATTTATTTATAAACACAAATTTGCAGACTTCCTAATATATCTCAGTACATTGCAGGCCTTTTCACTGGCTCTCTATTGGAGACAAAGTCTAGTTTAAATGACCAAAGTTTTGTCTTTGGAGCCTTTTGATCATAAACTCTCTAGATTTGTCTGGCCTTATTACTTCCCACAATGCAATTTGTTCTTTATATTCCTCTTCTTTCAGTTCTTCCTTCCAAGGTCAAGGTTGCAATTTGTTCTTTATATTCCTCTTCTTTCAGTTCTTCCTTCCATGGTCAAGGTTTTCAAATTCTAGCTCTTTAATGACCTGACCTGCAAATTTGTAAATCATCATCTCTTCTTTATTTCTGTAGAAATGTAATGTTTTTAAGATATTTAAACCACTCCACTTTTTTTTTAAAGCAGTTAGGTTGAGATTTGGCTCTTCTATCCTAATCTTACTTAGTTGACAGTTCTAGGTTAACATCTGTTTCAAATTACTACGGATATATATCAGATTGGCCTAACCCTATTGGCCTGAGGGCATGGCTATGCTTCCAGGTGTTTTGATCAGAGTGTCTATCGGATCCCATGAATTATTTTTATTTAAATATATATGTTAAATGTGTATTGGTGGGTGGGTTTGTTATTATTTTATCTCATCTGCTGACTATTTATTTTGTATGTTTTGTTGGTTTTCTTGCTGTTTTTTAAATTGTTATTAGCCACACAGATTTGTTTGAAATGGACAATCACATTAAGTAAATAAATACTTCGTCCTATCCCAGGGAATTGTTTTAATGCACTGTTTTGTCTTATCTATCTTAGAATTAATATCTATTTACTGGGTTTTGAGCTAATTTGGCTGGGTTGATTTGTATTGTGTTTTTATAATGTGATTTTTTAAAAAACATGTGTCATAAATCATCTTCTTAGCTTAATTGAAAAATTCTGTTATGAACTAATGTTGCCCTGAAATGTTTCAACCTCAGAGACTGCTTCATTTCCTCATCCCATTATAATCTATAACAACCAAGTAAGTATACATCTTTAGGTATGCTATCATTAGAGTTGACTCCTTTTTTTCCTTTTATTTTCTGAGATCAAAGTTGGAGCATTTTAAGAAGTAGTTCCAAAGGAAATAAGGGAAGAAAGATATAAGCGATTCAAAAATGTCTTATGCTGGACAATCCTTCCTGTAGGAATGTATGTAGATGAAAGATCACTGGGTCAAATGCCAGTGATTAAAAGATCAAAAACCCAAGCCCAAAAACTGCATACAGGAAACTGGAATATAAGAATCACAGCTAATTTAAAAATCTTATTTTCTGACATCCTAACTTTTCATGTTCTGAGAAGATATCTTTTTGTTTTGTATTATTTTAGTTTTTTTGAAGTGAAAATCACCAGATATGAAACGACTTCAATCAGTAGCGGTATGAAAAAGAACAATTCAATAAGGACTGCATCAAGTGCTTATCTTGCATGTTTAAATGGATCACTTTTTTTTGTAATCTGGAATAAGGTAACATGAAAAGAGTACATATTTTTCCAACCTGAAAACTGTATTTATGACAACATTTCTATCCCACCCTAGCTTCGTAAAACCAAGGTATTTTGCATAATAGCAAATTATAATTAAAAATTTCTGTGACCAATTATGGAGACAAAATATATGTATTCACTAAATAAATAAGTAAATGAGAAAGGGTTTATGGAAAGGGGAAACAAAAACTTTGTGTAACTTCATAATACCTGTACAAGTGGTGGTTTCCACCTCAGATTTTTAAGCGGTGCAGGGGTAAAATTAAAAGATCCTGTATGGCGTTTCTTTACTAGTAGAGTAACTCCCAAAGGATTCTCACGAAGCTTCCTTACGAGATTCTTCAGCTGCCATCCCACCTTTTAAATACATAGCATATAAATCTTTTAATTAAATCCAATTTAAGAAATGAATTTAAAATAAGGGTATCAGAAGAAAATCAAAATGTTTCCCATTGCTACGTTTTTTCTTGGCATGCTTTCAACAGTGTAAATGTGAAGTTTCAATGGATACAGTTTTCTCCTTTGAAATTATGGACAAATAGGATATCACTAGTCTTAGCTATATTGTCTCTGTAAACCTCTTGGATGTCATATGTTGAATGGCTTTAGAGGAAAAAACATTATGGAACAAATAATATTCGGTCTGTATAATATATTACCCCAAGTAGGTAGATATGATTAATTCCGGTAGAAGATGAAGCATTACACCAATGAACATTCTCCAGTTTTCCTGAAGATATTAAGTCTTTTGCTCTTAACAGGCCACTTCCAATAGTTCTAAAAACTTTCAAGCCATTTGGACATTTCAAGAAGCAAAAAAACCCTACCCCTTACAGAAAAAGTAGATTTTAATTTTGTCTTTTTTAACCCCTAACCATATCATCTCCATTTTTCTTTTCTTTTTTTGGCAAAGACTATGATTACTGTTAGGCTAGGGAAGGCAAATAACAAACAGGGAACAATTCCTCCTATCCTGGAGCAAAGGAGGAATAACGATGGGGATAATGAAGGCAATTAAACCCGAACACAATTTCAAAATGGAAATATGCCACCCAAATTCCTGTTCCTCCGAAGTCTTCTGTGCGTCTTTGATTACAATGGAAAGGCACAAAGCACCTTTTGCTTAAGTGGCCAAGAATATAATGTTTAGTGTTTGTGCTGCTTGACTATATTGCTCAAAACTTTGTAGGCTGGCAGGCAACATCTCTTGCTTGCACAAAATCCCATAAGGCAGAGAGAAATTGTAAAGGGATGACTAAGAATCCTTTCTTTGAAGTGGAAATATTTCCCATAATAAATGCTAATTTATTATAGGATGCTAATAATGCTAATTCTAATAAATAGTAATATATTCATTTATAAAGTTTACAATCTACTATTCACCATAATTGTAATGATTTGTAATTGTAAAGATGCCAGAAGCGGAATTTATGAACATTTACAATATTCCATGCATAATGATCCTACACATTTCACTGGGATAGGATTCACAAAACACTTAATAATCCATGAACGTTTTCAGCAGCCCACATTCAAGACGAATATTATTCCTCTAAATGTTTGTAATTTTTTTTATAGGTATCAATTATCTGTGTTTTTCTTTAACCACAGTAATTTGGGGCATTTCTTTAACAGATGATTTTGCTATTAAACTCATTAAGGTATAAGCAACGGTTCAGTGTAAAAATGAAGGCACGCAACTGAAATAATTGTTAGTAAATCAGGCTAAATTTTGATTCTAAGTGGTGTCTTTTGAACCACTTTTGCGGTGTTCGTTGACTTACCACTGTCTGCCGGTTCACCTGAATCACTTCGTCACCAGCATGGATTTTCTGAGATCGATCAGCAGGAGACTACATAGTATAAATACAAAACAAAACAAACAATAATTTCCAATTTAAAAACTTTCAAATGGTACACCCTTGGCAGAAAAGCTTTATACATGGAAATGTCTGCGGTGTTTCTGCATGAGCTACAGCTGCCTCCTCCAAAGGCAGGCCCCCTACAACTAGTCATTATATATAACTAGTCAGTTGTTAAAAAGCAAAAGAGGACTTTTCTTACACTGAGTCAAAGGCTAGCAATTGAGCAGGGAAAAAGAGGAGGAAGGTCATTTCAGTCTGCAGATTTCTTTTCTACTTCTCTAGTAAGACACCTGAAATTTAATTAGGCCGCTCTAACAGAGTGAATGAAGTCACTTGTCTCAATTCCCGACAACATACAACTTGAAAGGGAGAAGTGTTAAAAAGTGTTATAGCTCAGATATCCTAGGAAGAGAGATGAATTGTTTGATTATCTATTAGCAGGCAGCTTTCGAGTCATTCAACATCTCATGTTGATGGAAAATATTTTTGCCGAAGAAACAGGAGGAAAATCATTCCAGAACTCCTTTAGGTGCCTTTAAAGTCTGCTGCAGAGAGACCCCCATCAGGATGTGGGATGAAGAGGAGAAAGTTCTGCTGGGCTGGCAAACACTAGTAGGACAATTCGGATAATTTTTGCTCAGTTCTACAGTACAAGGAAAGGAGTGTGGCAGCCTTTGTTTAAAATGGCTCTGCAGCTTTAAATCTATTCCAGTGATTCTCTGACAGTTCACATCACAGAGAAAGAAAAATGGTCCTGAGTTGACCTGTGTGACTCAAATCAGCTGAAACAAATGGCTCATTTCCCTTGTTCCCTTATCAGGTGCAATGCAGGACAAGACAATCCCCTTGGGGGCTACCTGAGATGGAAAATCTTACTAGGAAAGAAATCCTCACTGTCATCTGACTGATCTAAGGCATTCCTATGTTACACATCAGCATTAAGAGGCAAAGCTATACTTGTTGCGTTTTCATAAATGGAAGCTCTGGCGAAAGAGAGGAGAGACGTTGGGAAACATACAGACTCCAAGATAACTTCCTTTTCTTAGTAACAACATTCCTCTCTGAACAGACAACTGTAGACATTGCGTATCCAAAGCACAACTCTTTCTGAATTGAGAATTAATTTGTTAATAAACAAAAGAGGGGAGGAAAGCCCACTCAGCTTCCATCACCAGCATTTGGAAAGTGACTGGAAAGTTTTGTTTGGGTCAAAACATTCCCACCAAAAGCAGGAAATCAAAAGTCATTAAAAACAAGTTGGAAATCCTGTCACCTGACAGGAATTGGACACATCTCTCCATGGCATTAAGAGCTGCTCTGTCAGAGATGCAGCTGGACAGATACCAAATGACAGGAAGCCACCAGAGGCAAGACACTGTCATTGTATTGCTACAAAGAAGGGAAAGGACGCTTATCTTAGCAACATGATTCCTCAGCAGAGATCTGGAAACCCAAGAAAAGAAGGTTAGATGCTTGTGAATGCCAACTAAGGTTCCTAGCACTGGGTACTTTCAAACAGAAAACATAACAACAGTAAATCTAAAAAGCCAGTTTGGCATGGTAAGGAAAAGATCTGAACATTTGCATTGCTTAGGTTTTTTAAATGTTTGGGACATGAGGCAAAACAATATTCTCAAATGACCAATGGCCACACTGGCCGGGGAGAATGGGAATTGTAATCCAATTCTATACCTGCAGGTCAATGGGACAGGACAGTGTATAGAAGAGAGTCACTATCTTCCTGTTCTAGGCAAAAATGAAAGTGGAGCTCATTATTAGTTTTCCCACTCATTACATATATCTCCATGGCTTTTCCTTTTCAAATCTGGAGACACTTTGCATTTAAGAACTTTCTCTTTGATTCCCAGGAAGTATATGGACAGTCTATACCCAGTCTAAATATCCTGCTGGTGTTTTCAGAAGGAAGACAGTGCACTACATAAACACGTCTTTGCTGAGCCTGCATTTACAGTCTAAGCATTTTGCTCAACAACAATTCTGGGAATTCCAGTTAGTAAAACCCCACGTAGCATTTAGAAACACTTTTACTGATTTGCATACAAACTGAACTGAACCAAAAGGTGGATATAGAACAGATAGAGTCAGTCATGCACATGATAATTTAGCATAAATTATCACTGTCAGCAATAAGGTAATGATAAGATTATGAGACCAAAATAAATGAAAATATAACAAGTTAAGAATTTGCTTTCTGTCACATTTTTGCCATTTTGGGGGGAAGAAATGGCAAACTGAAAACAGCAGAGCTGATGACCACAATGGAATGAAGATCCGGCAAATGGACCAGTTCTTCAGGATTCTTCTCCAGACTAGGAGAGAACCTGGAATTGTCCACAAGTACTTCAGACATACTGTCTTGAAAGGAGACCACAAGACCTCTAGGAGATGAGGGATCTCAATTTTTGTCCAAACTGTGATTTGGACATAGGGCTCACATATTTCCTTTCTTAATCATTTTTGAATATTGCTTTTCAGATTTTAGCAACCTTCAGAATGGCAAGATTTACTATACCAAGTGAGTTTCCCACAAAAACAAATTTAAGAACTGCATTTGGAAGATGATATGGAAGAGGAACATATTTTAAAGGATAAGATTGAGATTGATTTGAAAGCGGGTTTTAAAAAGATTATGGGCTATGGAAATGATGTAACAAAATACTACACTGGATATACAAAGGAAACTGGCTGATGTCTTAACAAACTAAAAGAATGACCTGGATAACTTTCTTACAGTATACTGGATTTACAAAAGAGACATGTTACAGTTTTGAAAAAAATTGCTAAGATATGACAAGGAAAAAAAGGAAAAGAAATCAAGTTCTAGGACATTTTTGAGGGGATTAAGGATCAAAATTGTTAAAAAATAAAGGGAAGGAATATAAAAATATCAAGACTGTTAAAAGTAAAAGGAAGAAATATAAAGTTGATTTATTTGATCAAGATTAAAATAGATATGCTGTTATCTCTGGTAATCCTTAATGGACTTTTACTGACCAGGACTGAATGCCAAGGCTTTAAAGATTTGTGTATAAAGAGATGGAATATGGGGAAAAGGTGATAACTAACTAAATAAATAAGTTACTAAAATTGTCTATATGAGTTATGAAGAAGAAAGTAATTTCTTTATATATTCCTAATTTTTGTTTCTTTTCTATTCTTTTTCTTTCTTTTCTGCACTTTCAATTTTTCCTTTTCTAGCTTCTTATCTTTTTAATTATAATGTTTAATAAAACTACTATTTTTAAAAAAGGTTTGGCTTGGGTTCAACTTTATCACAAATAGCTAGTGTTAATTTCCCTTTGATGAAGACATTAAGAATACTTACATTTTCTGTTGTCCCAGTAACAACATGTAAACCGTCATAAGTAGATTTTATGTACATTCCCTAAATTGAGGAATAGAAAGATAAAACAAGCATAAGAATAATTACAACTCATCCACAGTTATACCTCAAATGTTTTAAGACAATTATTTATGAGAAACAGCATGGCTGATAATACCATGCTAGAGCCTGCCTAAACCAGCCTTGTTGAATTGTGTAAATGGAGTATAATCTCCTTTTGGAGGAGAGAAAAAGAAGAAGAAGAAATCCTCACCTATGGAGGTGAGAATCTAAACAGAAATCACTTAACACCAAGACCTTCCAAATCAATCAAGAAGGAAAAGTGATCTCAAGTCAATTCATTTCTTAGGAGAATAAAGAGGAATCTTTGTTTAGTTAAGGTTGCTTGATGTTATATCTATCGATTTTTCACATTTCTGAATCACCCATCTTCCTCAAGAATCTCTCATGTTATGTTAAGATGGTATTGTTTTATTGAATCTGTGCTGGCAGTACTTACTTCTAACTTTTGTTATTACTAATTGGAATTGGGCGGCCGTAGGTAATCAGATGAATAAATAAGCATAAAATTATTTATCTGCTTATAAAAGTTGATAAATTTTGATTTATCATAACACACTATATGCATTGCTTGTTATGCTCAAAGTCACTTTGAATCATATAATTGAAGCAGCATATAAGCGTATGTGATGAATAAGTAAAACAAATAGACTTAAGTAGAATCTCAGTATTTAAATGAGGGTCACAAAATAAGTGTGCGTCTCGTGGGAATGGCTGAAAAGCTTTAGTCTGAATACAGCCTAGAAAACTCTTCAAAACACATGGATAATAAATGCTGGTTGTCAAATTCAGCTTTTTAAGATGTTTTTCTAAGCTAGAGTACAGACCCACCCAAAGGTTCGTAATATTTCAAATGTTCCTCCACAAAGAATCAATTTTAATATAATTAGTCTTTAATATTAGTAATACAGTCCTCTCTTGATACTCACATTTTTAACAATGGCAAATCTTGATGGGACTCCATAATGACATTTCAGGGCCAATACAGAGAACTCTTTTTTTAAATGTTTCTCTGTTCTCTTGTATATACCTAGTAGAATATTTCATGTGGGAATTCCCTATTGGAAATAATTTAGTCCTGGAGATAAAGAATTAAAGCTTTTACTTTTCAGATTGCAATATAAACTAATTGTTCAAACTAATTAAGAGGGTGCTTGCTCTCTCAGCTCACTCTAAATACCATAATAAATAGAAATGTCCATGGGTCTCTCTCTCTGTGTGTGTGTGTGTGTGTGTGTGTGTGTCTGTGTGTCTGTTTGTATGAGAGATACACAGAGACAAAGAGAGAAAGAGAAATGTCAAGATGGTGGTCCACATCTTTTCATATGTGCATACATGTTGTGAACAAAATGCCTATAAAAATGGGCAAGATTTCAACTATAGCCTCCATCTTGACTTTCTTTTTCTCTTTCTGCTTGGGGAAAATAAATTAGACTTTGTTACTTTAAATAAACTTTGAAGTAGTAGCCCGGAGCAATTTAGAAAAGTAAGGAAATGCAAAAATTCTTACCAAGCCTTCCCCAGGTTTGATATTGTTTAAGTGAACTTCTTCGAGACACGCACCCTGACTCATCAATGGATCAGTTGTTGACCTGATTGTCTTATCACAGATTCCATTCAAAACCTTAGACTAGAAAAGAATAAGAACATGCTTTACACATTATTTCGGGAGGTGGGGTGGTGGTCTCATGCACAGCCCCTCCAACAAAGAAAAAAAAAACACCTAAATTAAGAATTGTTGCTTTCGTGCTAATTCCAGATTCATAAGATACAGCAGCCGCTCAGAGTTAACTTTCATTGGGTAAGAAAGCAATAGCAATAGCACTTAGACTTATATACCGCTTCACAGTGCTTTACAGCCTTCTCTAAGCAGTTTACAGAATCAGCAACCTTGAGCCGGTCAGAATCGAACTGCTGAATTGCTAGCAGCCAGCAGGCAGCAGAAGTAGCCTGCAGTACTGCATTCTAACTACCGCGCCACCACAGCTCTGCAAGAACTTTATTTCAAACTAAAAATTACTCGAGTGTAGGATCTATTTCCTAAAATAAGTCAAGAAAATCCAATATTAAGCATTTAATACGCACTTAAACAGAATTTAAAAGTATTTTTGTTTGAGTTGGCAGTTTTAATATTTAGGTTTTAACATTTATTGTATTTACTTATTTCAAAAATAATGAGATGATAAGTTGTCTTGGATTCCCAAATATGGATGCATATTTCAAATGAAAAGAACATTTTATTGCCTTGTCTGGAATCCCAAACTTTTGGCTCGGAGATGCAAATTTAACAATATGGGGGTGGGGGGGGGAATCAAAATTAGAGCAAACTGAACCTGGATAGGGAGAAGCTGATTTAGAAAGGCACTAGAGAACAAAGTCTTCCCATTGTAGAATGTTGCTATTGTGATCTCTGCTTCTCAGTTGCTATTTGCTTCACTTCAGCAGGATATATACAGCATGAAATGGGGGGGGGGGGAGGTCAAACTTCTTCCTTCCATCAAACGCATAGTTTACATTTTTTTTTTAAAAAAATACAATCACAGATCAAGATCACAAAGAAAATCCCTTCCCTTCCCCACTCTGTACATATATTGAATGGCTACGCTATTAATATATTATTCTTTCCTCTAGACACAAGTCTTTCCTTCTGAACTAAAAAGTTCTCCCAAACTAAGTTGAGAGAGAATATTAACAGTCACAGAATGCTCGGTTGAATGTTCTAAGGAGAGTTTTCTTCCTGTCAAGTAACAAGGAAAAGCAGTCATAGTGATGACACAGTGGTTAGAATGCAGCATTGCAGGCTAACTCTGCTTACTGCCAGCAGTTCGATTCTGACTAGCTCAAGGTTGACTCAGCCTTCCATCCTTCCAAAGTTCGTAAAATGAGGATCCAGATTGTAGGGGGCAACATGCTTACTCTGTAAACTGCTCAGAGAAGGCTGTAAAGCACTATGCAGTGGTATATACGTCTAAGTACTATTGCTAGCCAAGAGCATTGAAACGTGAAGGCAGCAGCAGCAGTCAGGGAAATGAAAAGATGTTTGACACAATTGTAGAAGTAGGTACAGGAAGGAAGGACCAAGAGACAGTCTTCTCAAGAGAATGCATTTTTGCACAATCCACAAACACAATGTTTATCACTCAGAACTGTTTCCATATCATCTCAAATTTTAAAAGGATGCAAAGGTTATATATGTATGAGCCAAAAAAACAATAAAATCAAGGGAATGAGGCTGCAATTACTCAATGAACTTGCAAACAAAATTTCACTCAAGGAAACTAGAGGAAAAGCATCACAGTACAGGTCCTGATTTGGACACTACATGTCGTGGAAAAAAATCTTGTTTCTCGTTTCCCACACTACACTTCAGATGTTTCATTTTCTCTCAAATGCAAATTAATAACGTTGGACCTGTGTGTACAAGTGCACAATTATATGCAGGAAAGTTTACGGTCAAATCATTTGAAAATTGAAAAATAAAATATTGCCAGTCGTAAAAGGAATATTGTAACCGCGAAGTAAGAAAACAAACTTCAAAGATCCTTGTGAAACATTATTTCAGAAAATCAAGGAATAACCAAGAAGAGAAATAAGTTCTGAGATCTGTTGAGGTCAATTTATAAATACAAACATCCCAAAAGTTAAAGAAAAAATACTCCTTTTATTTACAGCCCACTATAGCAAATCAGTGCAATCACTTTACATGCGCATCTCCACTGTCAATCAGCACAATCTATTAATCCCAATCATCAATCAAATTCTCAAAAGACTTATCTAATACCTATCCAGCCTTGTATTTCCAGCTTCTCCTTACTATCAGTACACAGTTTTTAATTCTTATTCACAAATATGTACATGTAATTTCAAATCTAACACTGTATTGTTGCAAGTTCCACCTCCATAATTTATTAGAGGAACGGGCATTTATCTGTGTCTTGTATCTAGTACAAACAATTACAGCCTCAGTAATATTCACTTCTGGCATCTCATATTGCAAAAGCCAGGAACAGTATATACAAATGTTGTTGGAATCTGACTAATAAGCTTGACTCTTACCTACTATTTGGGAGAATTGCCCCAATGCCATAACCCATCACAGCATCTCCCTTATGGGGAATGTTACCACTGATACAGGAAGAGTGTCAGCAACACATCTAAAGCTCCAACCCAACATACACTATGACCCTAATTAAACAATCATGGCTACTAGACCAGAAAGGGATATGGGGCAGTGAAAAGGAGCCAGTGAGCTGGATGGACATGCTTTGTAAGCTATACGCTTCTCATGTTGTTAGACCACAGTTGTTGAAAGCAATTACATTTACACACACACACGCACACACCAAAGAATGTTACTATAAAAAGTAAGAGTATTGAAAGAACCATAATGCATAAATAGAAGGGCGTATGGATTTTTTTTACGGAGGGTAATCAACCATTGTTCTGTTTTGAATGGAGGTGTGAGTATTTTTAGATACTGTGAATTCCTCACCATCTATCTGGCAGGCGGAAGGTCTTATCAAAGAACACAGCCTGATTCATGTCAAAAGGAGGAAGCAATGATTAACCATTACAAAATATTGAACGCAGGTCACTGCATCCCTATTCCAGTCACAAGACTGCCTCAAACGTATTTGGAAAATTCTCCTTTCAAATCAATTCTGATTCAAAAGAGCATTTTTCTACTGTCGTAATGTACTGTCGTGTATTCCCGTTCAAGTTCTGTCCCCAGAACTGTGAGCTCTAGTCTGCTGAAGCAAAACGGTTCACCTCATACTTCAACTGGAGACCCCAAAACAGAGTGTCCACGCTATATCAAAGTTCCCCTTTGCACCAGCAATTGTATGCAAGGCAGTGATTAAAAAAACAAACAAACAAACCAGAATTCTATTGCACCTATATTACATTAATGATATTATTCATTGGGATTTATATGCCACTGCGGTCCAGTGAGACTCTGAATGGCTAATATTCCCTTATTTCAGTAAGAAGTTTAAAACAATAAAGCCAGTTGACCAAAGAGCCACACCAAGAGAA